TCTAGACTGCACTCCCCAGAGAACAACTCGGTCTTCTACAAAATTTAGAAGGATGGCTGTCAAACGTGACAGTTGAATTGGCTAGATTTATTGAGAAACTAAATTTGCTTCCTCAAAGTTTGCTTTGCAAGCATGCCCTAAGCTTTTCCCAAGCCATTTGGACAGGGATAATGATTTTTCTGGAGGATGAATAAGCATAGTTTTAAGTCTGTAAAGAAAACAACAGCCAACAGGAGCCAAAAAAAAAAAGTGGGAAGCAATTTTTTATTTTAAAATGTTTGAAGAGTGAATGTGCTCAGTTAAAGCAGGGTTGTCAAAAATACCACCAAGTGCCTAAAGCCCACTGTGACGTTAGCTTATTGCAGTTCTCCCTTGCTCTCCCATGCTCTCCTAAATATTTCTCTTCTTGGCTAAGACACAGCCCAATCCATCAGTCAGCAGGGAGAGAAGGATGTTCCTTTCCTTCCTCCTGGGACTTAACTGGGCAGCTGGCATGGAACATGTGGTGTTTTGATTTATCCTGTAGCCAGCTCCCCTGCAGACAGGAGGGCATGTCTGGTGGCAACCTACACCAGGGTTTAGCCTGAGCTTCCTGTAGGGGTAGTCCTGTCTCAAGGCAGAAGGCAATGCCTCCCAGCCCTATGTTAATATCATGCATTTGAGCTTGGCTCTAGAAAAAGGAAAATATTTAATTCCAGACAAGTTAATGAACTCTCATTTTCAGCCCTCAGCCCTTTAAATAGCAGGACAGGAAATATGAATAACTTGCAATATCTGACAGAAAATAGCTGCTTCATTCTTTTATGGCCTGTTACCCTGTTGAACAATGACATGAGAATGTGTTGGGACCAACCTGATGAGGTGCGCTCACTGCAAGGTGCCCATTAGGCTGTTTGTTTTTCCCCTACTTAATGGTGTCATTTGCCTTATGATGCATCCCGAAAATACCCAAGGTAACCACATGCCCAGCAGTGGCTGAGCACCCGGAGTAGAGAACTGTTATTGCAAAGTCTGCTCAATGATTTGACATCTGGAAAATATCCAGTTTACAAACATATACTTTATAAAGAAGTAATGTTCTCCGGGTTTTAGATTTGCAATATACCACAGAGATAAAACTCTTCTGCAAAACTAGAATGATTAAAGATTCTTGCTTACCCTAGCAACCCTGGTGTGGAGCACCTGGCTGGATAATCTGGTGCTAAGACTGCTGACAGCTGTGTCACCATGTCCTCCTGTGCTCCAGACAGGAGCATGCGTGGCACCCACATTCAGTGAGCAGAACAGATAGAACCCAATATCCTCTTGACTTGAATTATTTTAGCCATTCAAATCCAGAATGTCATCTTTGCAATGACCTAGAACAGATTGCTTTGTTGCTGTTCAGGACATGGGTAGACTCTTTTATACCACTCTCCTTTTTCATAGCCTTCCTCACTAGAATGGAACTAAATATAAATCTAGCATGGAGGATGGGGAAAGGGAAAGGGAAAGGGAAAGGGAAAGGGAAAGATGTTTCAGACACGTGTGTGAAGATGCAACTAAAAGACTGCTTTAAACTGCCTCCAGGTCTCAATCTTAGCCAAAATAATTTCTCAGTATACTTTGGGGAAGACATGAGAAATGAGAGTCATCATTCACAGAAAAATTAATGTGGAGGAGCCTAGCATTTTTCAGCCACTAAGGAGCACATTGATGGAATGGTGCTTTGTTGTGCTGTAGATTCAGGGCAGATGGATTTCCCAAAATACACACATAAATCAAAAGGAAAAATGACATAGTATGTTAATGAGCAACTAATTACACTGCAAACAGTGTTTTGAATCCATGTATCTGCCACTTGTAAACAAGACATCTCACTGATCCAAAGCACTTAAGACAATGCAGCAACAGCTTTTTTCTCTGAAGAGATGGAACCAGAGCTGTGCCAGTACCGATACAAAATCTGTAATCTAAATGAGATATTGCAGTGTGTATTCAGATTCAGGAAAAGCTTATATTCCTTTATGATTAGTAAGACTAATAGCAACTCTTCGTATGACAAAGTTTTTATTTTTAAAGATGCACATCCTCCTAGTTCAGCATGCAGATTAAACTCTTCCTTCAAGTGCCAGTAAGCCAGACTGAATGAGACTGTAGAACATGAAGCATTATTTTGGACAAGTGGCCACCAGATATAATCCCTTCCTAAACCTATCTGCACGTGTAAGATTGAACTCTGATAACACTGATGAGAATGGGCTTCCCAGGAAGGGCCAGGCAGCTATCACAGGCTGCTGGAGCAATTTATACACTTTTTCTTATCAGCATCCTGAGCAGCCCGCTCTGCCTAGATAAGGAGTTTGATGCTAAATTCAGCCTTCCTGTCTCTGGTAACTGCTTCCCCCTTCCTGTGAATGCTGTTTACATCAGGGCAGTCAGGACATGGGATTCCAAGCACAGTCACACTGCTGACTATCCCAAAGCTGTTAGCTGGAAGATGTGTGCTGACTATCACATCTACTGCAATGTCTTCAAGTGAGGCAGTACAGCTTGCCTTTAAATAGAGATTGAAAAATTCTATGGATACTTTGTAAATACTCTGTCATATTCAAGAGTGAATTTTTTCCTGTCTGCAGGCAATCACATTTTCTAAGCAGAGGAATTTAAGGTACTAAGGAGCTAGAATATTATGTGCTGATTTGCCTGCCTTTCCTCCTCTGAGGAGCTGCAAGGGTTTTGGTTTCATTAACTCTCCTTAAATACTTCAATATCTTTTGCTGACATTTGAATAACAGTTATAAACCACTAAGAAGGTTTTACAAATCCTGAATATTTTAGCTCTTATATCTAAATATAATATCAATGTTAGCTATTATCTCTAAAACCCATCAACAGGAAACAGGTTTCAAAATACAACAAGAAACCCTGAAAAAGGGAATTGGTGGGTAGGGGGTGGATTCACCCCCATCTTCTCGGCCAGCCTGTGGAACTCCAATCATAAAAGATTCCTAGAAAATACTCCCCCATGTGAAGTTTTGTCCTTGCTTTGAGCAAATGGACATCTGAACTTCTCCCTGCAGTATTGTATTTTTATTTCACTTAGGTGTATCATTAGTTTAGAAGCAAACACAATGGCTTATTTTCTATTTGAAAAAATGTTTTATCAAAACATATGAAACCTCTCACAGTGTGCTACTCAGCCTTGCTTATTCCTTTCTGCTCTATTAAATTCAATTGTTTCTCCTATTAGAAGAAATCAAGAAGTAAAGAACGAAGTGTCACAGAGGTCACTCTGTGACATCCATGGTGTAACTAGGCTAAATTTAGATCATACTTTCTATTTTAACAGTAAAATAAGTAAACTTTAGTTTCATGGTTTAGGTATGCTTGTGCTTCTAGTTAAAAGTACCTTGTCACTTCTGCAGAAACAGACACAGCTTCACTGGTGGTTATTGGAAATAATGTTTGCTTCCGTGCACTTTAAATCTGCTTTGTACACTTACTTTCTGGACACCCAAAGAACCAGAATAGAGTTCAGAGAGTGAGACTTAACTAACCTCAGCCGTGGCTCATGGATGATGAACTGCATGATATAGGTCTTTGGATGATTCTCATGCTATATCTCAGACTGCTCTGCAGCATTTCTGGTCTACTGCTTTCCTACATAGACAGGAAACTTTTTTTTTTGCATTTCTAAATTTTGAACTTTTACTATTTCATTTTAAAGAGCTGTCACCTTTGGTGATGTGCTATATAAATTTTATATTGAATATTAAAAGATCCTAACATATGCAACCTCTACTTGCCAAAATTATTTAACATTTTCAGGGAAAATTAATTTGGGCAGGGTGAAAAAATTGTGAGGCAATTCAGGTTTTCCACTGATGTTATTAGAGGATAAACATACACAAATATACCTACATATAGACACACAGAGAGTTTTTTATGCTTCTTTACATGACAGTTAAAAATTTAAGCTATTTCAGTATTGGTCAAGGACCACTTGAAGACCATTTGGATTAATTGATACAAAAATAAACTAGAATTCACACAGATCTGGCTACCCTACTTATAATGACACTAGTAGGAGACAAATTAGTTTACATTCAACAAACCAAGGCTTTGTTGAATGTAAACCGTTTACAGAAAAAAACAGGGGTATGAACAAGTGAAACAGAAGCCTGAACTGTAACTCTCAGCGGTGCTGCTCTGCCCTCTGCAGACTAGACCGCACAATCACATATTAACCCAGATCACGTACTTCTAAAACACATCTAACTCAACAGAGAATGAAGTTATCAAAGTGAATGAAACACACATAAACATCACTGTGACACTGCAAGTCCTAAATAAGTTAGGAGTACTCCTGAGGAAGTGGCTGGTTTCTGAGCATCCTCACTGTGTCCACACTGCCAATTAAGTTGAGGAAACAATTACTGCCCAAATAGCACCCATTCCTGGAATCTGAATTCAGAATGAGGTACAGGAAGTATTTATGTTTGTTGCTCTAATGTAAGCCACACGACATTTCTGGATGGTGGAGAAACAAGTTCCAACTTCCATGTACAGAGCAACTCCTCCTTGGTACTAAGAAGAGTTTCCTAGAGCAAGACCCAGGGCACGTGCAGCACAGCAAATGCATGACTGATACACCAGGCTACCAGCACCCCATTCTGCAAGCTGCTTAGCTATATGCCACCCTGCACAGCACCTGTCTCCACCTTTCATCCTTGGTAAACATCCAAGAAATGTGGCAAATACATTCACCTTTATGAACTCTCTATATTCATGTGCTCATCATGTGTTAGCTGGTAAAGAATGCTAAAGCTTCTTTAATTCTTCCCTATTTGCTGCATCCCCACCGGTGTGAGAAAACACACAACAGTACTTACTGCTTCTTATGAACTGGACAGTGCTTTTGAACTAAGGACATGTCATAACCCTTCTGACAGAAACCATAGTTTTTATGAGGCTTCTCTTGGATAGGAACAGTGCACTAGAATTCACACAACACACAATTCAGATTAGTTCCAACTTTTCGTTTTATTAAGTAAGTGCTGACATTTGAAAAACTTTCTCAAAGCAAACATGCCAAACCCCAGGCATCAGATATGGACCTCACAAATGAGCAGCACCTGGTGTCCCTTTACTCCACCTGCCTGCAGTTATCAGGTGTTACACCACAGTGTCATATCTTTTGAAAACAGAGCCTGGCAGGAAGAAAAATTTGCATATGCAGCTCCTGACATAACACTTCTTGTATTGTATGACTACCACATGTGCTGGTTACATGACCCAAAGACTCACATGTCAGGAAACAAGAGAAGTGGCAGTCTTTCAGCAAGTGGCAGCATTTGTAGAATATCTTCAGTACAAAACTAAAATAGGTGTTTGGACAAAAAAAACCCCTTATTTGATATAATACAGTGCAGAGCTTGCAATATGTAATGTTATTATGCTTCTGTAAGTTAACTTTAATGGCAGGTTGCTTCTTAATAATGACTCTTCTGAGCTATATTCACCCTCCATAGTTTGCAGTTAAAGCAAGTGAAAAATAAGTCAGAGCAGCATGTTAAAATCTGATGGAATCTCATTTTGTCATTCTTCATTGCTTTTGCTTTTTTGAGGGGTCTGTTGCAGACTGATAGGACAGGCTAGGAAATTTCCAAGCGTATCAGTAAGCAAAATAAAAGTCTTAAATTTTCACCTTGCCCATTTCACAAATGGAAATGGTATTATTATTCCAAAGCAAAAACCTGGAGGAAAACAGTGGTCATGTTTATACTTAGCAACACTGTTCTCCAGTACTTCCAGTCACAACAGCTGAATTGCATTCTTAAAAAGAATTCTTTACATATTCTTAAACAGAATTCTCTACATAATCCCTGCTATCTCAGATAACTGACACAGAAATATCACTTAGGGTCTGGGTTACATCTTGAGAACCTTGTACAATCTGACAATGCCTTCATCAAATGAACACTTAAGCTCTAATTTTACCTTTCTTTACATTCTTTTCATCCAAGGACTTTGGAGTGGTTTGTAACATGTAACTGAAGAAAACAAAGGAAAGGAAATAAAATCTTAATACTGCTCCTCCTTCCAACAAAATAATTGTACCTAATGACGCAGCAATTATTCTCAAATCTAGAAATATGATAAATTCTGAAAACCTGTACCAGAAGTACTATTCTGTACCTGTTTACAACCTCCCTTGGACAAAAGGCTGTCATATCCCACCACTCTGACCAAGGCCAGAAACAAGCTAATTACACTTGAATAAACCCGATTATTTCAGGAGAATGTTCAGAGTACAGGAGAAATGCTCCCTTTCCTAGTCACGCAAGACTTTATCTCATGAACTGAGATGGGAATTAGGATTTTGCCCATCTCTGGCTCACAGGTTGCAAGCCCAGCTTGTTTCTACACTGTGACACAAATTCCAGTACAATTCTAGCCAAAAGACACCCTGTGGAGCTACTTGGTCATGCGTTTCAAATAGCCTTGGAACAGAAAAGCCAAGGCAGTGCAGCTCTTTTTGAAATGCATTCTTTGAGAAGAATGGCAAGTAGATTTCTTCTTCCCCAGAGAAGCTTGTTACCTACCTCTGGGTTCTTCTCTTATTCTTAGCACTGATGTTCTCTAGGCATGAAAAGTCGCTTGGGCACACCTGAAGAACACTCAGGAACACTCACTGTGCACAGCCCAGACCAGGGCTACATCTTCACAAAGGACACAAAGGCAAGCAGAGTTCTTTTAGGAGCTGACTGAGCAGTAGTCAACTGGTCTCTGGTCCTGAAACTGCAGTTTTGGACTCTAGCAGTTGAAACTTCAGCCTGAAGTATTAAATTCACTGAAAGCAATACGTGACCCTAAATATGTCTATACCATCATGCGAAGTAGTACTCTCCAAAGCCAGCTCACCTTTGACTCTACAGCAAGGCTGCATGGGCACTGGAAGGAGCAGTCTGGAGCACTGAAGAAGCACTGCTAGACTTCCCAGGCACACTGCTGGGCCTCTGCAGGTTCTAAAACAAGCACTCATGGGAGGACAAGGTAAGCACGGTGCAGAGTGCATGATGCCTCTGATCACTACTGAGATCTGCTCTTTCAGAGGGCGACACACACAGGAATCACGTCTGTAAGACCACACAATTGTTTTGGGAAAGCTCAGACACAGAACAAATGTACAGATTAGAACCATGAGCAAAACTTCAGAGAAAGGGAAATGGCTCTGTAATGATAGAATTCACCAAAGTAAGTAATTCTGAATTTATCTGTACAGATACACATACTGCACAGCAAAACTAATGACAGATTTTCCATATTGAGACACTTTTCAATGTAGTAAATGACAGGACTGGTTATTCTTTCCTCCCTCTCCCCCTGCATAAAACTCAAATCTACCTTCGGTGTTATTTATACATAATGAAAAGGAAAAGCTAATGAACTGTAGTGACTGACTGTAAGCAACTTGCCAAGTAACAATGTTACTGAGGGAAGGGAATGTGTTGAAACAGGACAGTTGCACTTTCTGAATACAAGATTTTTTCTAAAGAGAAGCTGAAGTGAAAGGTAAGTGAAACTGAAAAAAAATCTGAATTTGAACATCAGTGGGGATATATATTTTCTCACTCTTAAAAGCTTGAGCCTTTTTCCCTTGAAAATACTGATAAAAGAGTAACATACCCTTCAGAATCACTTTAAAATTGCATATTTAAAAACTGCACATTTAATAATTGCACAATAATTTTTTAATCTCTTGTGCAGTGAGGGCTGAAAAGAAGTTAAAGAAATTCATTGTGGTAGAAGTCCTCAGTCAGCAGAAAGTGCTCTGAAGAAAGCAGTAGGAACTGGATGAAAATGTTCAACATCTGCAATTTTGGCTACTGGTGGGTAAAAGTAAGTAAAATTTTGGGGTGTGCTGAAACCTTTAAGATGAGAGCTGATCCCATAGTAATTTTTAAAGAGATAAACAACCACTTTCTCATTTAGAACTATAAGCAAAGCAGCAGAGCAGGATTCACTTCTGTGCAGAAAGTCATATGCTTGCGTGTCGTGGTTGTTTCCCAACCCACCATTTTGAGTCCAGGATCCTGCAGACACGGGAAATAATGCTCTCTGCTAGATGTGAAGAAGACTCTCAACATACTTTGCCATGCCCAAGTCTGTTATTTCCTCTTATTTTCTTTACTGAGTATGAACTTTAACCTCATTTAGCTTCCGGAAAGCCTCCAAGTTGGTTATTTCTCCTAATAATTAAACTCCCCACACTGCTTACAAGACAGTTAATTTAAAAAAAAATATTTTCAGGTTCAAATATGGGTGTTATAATCTATTTCTGGATCTAAGTATTCAATTTTCCATCTGTTCTCAAAAAACTGCATAGGAAACAAATTGATTTTAAGAGCCATTTGCACACAAGTGGGTATCCCACAAAAGAAGATTTCATTCTCCATGTTTACCACAAACCCACCGAAGCTGCTGCTCTGTTTGGAGGTCAGTTAATTCATCAATGGATCTCCAGCTGCACTGACAAGCATATGCACGTGCTCCTTTCTTCTTTATCATCTTTGCTCGTAGTTTACTGAGCTCAGGCATGTTATTCCTGCCAAAGAAGTGAATTCATTTTAGGATCATGCTGGGTTGTTTTGGTTTTTTTTTTTTTTTTTTTGTTTTTTTTTTTTTTTTTTTTTTTTTTTTTTTTTTTTTAAAGAAAAAATATTCATGAGGCCATTTCAAATCAGAAGACATCTTGACAATTCTGACTACCACTGTCATGGATTAATTTAGGGATATATTTGAATTCTGTTTTGAACACTCCTTTCCTGAGTGCAGTTTCAGTGTGTAGTTTTTGTGCTCTCACATAAAGTACAAAGTGATGTCTTTGTAAACAATGTTACCTGTTATGTTTCCAGTCAGTCTCCAGAGACAGAATTGTGAAGTAAACCAAGCAGAGATAATTCTTGTGTTAAAAAATTACACAAAAATGTATTTATCTTACCAAATTTACTGTAAAAATTGCTATGCACAATGGGAAAAATTACATACTTAAATTTTTCATCAGGAACTGTTACACATGGTGATTGTTAAAGTGACTGAAATGAAATGGCTGTAAGAGGGTAGACTGTACATCAACACAGAAATAATTCCTGTGCAGCCATCAACCATAACAAAAAACGTGCATGCTATGACAAGAACAAGTTCTTTCCAAAATACTAAGTGAAAATGTAGCATTTTAACTATCTGTGCTCTCATGACCTCCTCCTGGCCACTGAATTGCTCAAAAGCAACATTAAAAAGCTCATTTAAATAAAGAAAACTCAAAACAAGTATCAAGGGAAGAATTTTTAGCAAAAGAGATCAGACACCTATTGATGGAAGGAAAATGTTTAACCTTAAAGTTTGCTTTCTAAAATTCAGGTTTATCAAACTTAACAGCTAAATATTTTGCTAAAGATTACAGATTTTAATAAATGTTACAGGTATTTGATACTAATGCCGCTCATATGGTTTTTTTATTCCCTTTTATTTCATTTCTTAATTTCAATTAATTTCTGAGAAGTGAAACAATTTTGACTTTGGGTAAATAAAAGAATCCCAATTTTGTTTAAACTTTTTCCACTACCAAATTAATCTTAAGAGACTAGTGCAGCATGGTATTTTTAAAACTGCTTTAAATAATGGGAAAAATAATGGTATTCAATAAAAAATACTGATTTTGAGACTGGAAGAAAAATATAGGAATAACCAAAGATGTAACACAGGAAAAATCATGGAAAAGGAGCCAATATCTCCATTAATGTTTTTTCTCTGACTGTCACATCCCTGTCCAAGCAGATACTCTGAACACATCCACCTCTACCATCAGTTAATTGGCACAAACAAAGACTGTACTAAAATAAGAGGAACCAAAATTTGATGTCTATTAGAAATGTGCCTACTACACTATCTTTCACTTGGCATTAACTTTAGAAAAACTGGAAATAGGAACTCCTTACTTTTAAGTCTTCAAAAACTATTAAAAGAATTAAAGACATCACAATATAAGCAGAAAACAAAAATCCCACCTCTCCATTGAACCAAACCTTGCTTCAAGAAAGAAATTTGTTAAGAAATAAAGCTATTTGATTTTCACTGAACATGACAGCACACCTGATAGTGGAAAAAAACATATGCCTTTAAACCATCACAGACTGTATGAGTGAAGGTGAGGTGCAAAGCACATGCTGAACAGTCTGTATTCATGTTGTAGATACCCTGCACTGGTTGGCAGAATCCAACCCATCACATGGATTACCTGCTTATTTCAGCAATAAGATGGCCTTTTCCTCCATGAAACTTGAATTATTTTTAAAAGCAGAGGGAGAGTCATGGAAGAAGAGATAGAAACGGATGAAAACAGATTTTGGGAGACATTACTTCCCCCTCCCCACAGACTGTCCCACTTGATCCCAAACAGGTAGCATGAATGCTTTTTAGGTGACACAGAAATGCTCAGGGCTTTTCATCTTTCCCATTCTTATTGAGCTCCAAAGCACAGTAGCACAACACTAATACCCACCCCAGACACACCTGAAAAAAAGATAATCACAGGACTGATCCCAGACGTAGTCATTGAAAAGTGACACACGGAAGTCACAAGCAGTACAACGTAGCTGATCACACGTTCTGGACAAAGAAGAATAATCAGAGAAGCTGACTGAAACAATATACATACATCATAAATGGGTCAAAGTACAACACTCATTCAGAAACTCTAGAAGCAATGTCACTTAATGCCTTTACATCTCTGGCATGTTCAGATGTATGGTATGTGATTTAATTATATGTTCATGTATTATTTTTACAGGTTCCTATCCTCACTGAACACATAAAATAAATTGATATTCACTTGATATAATCTCCTTAGTCTTCCTCACTGATACAACACATGTGTTGAGTGCACAATTACTACAAAAAATGCCACATGGAAATGCAGTAATGTTCTAAAGGATGTTGTGGATAAATCATCTAAGTATCTCTTCTGCTAAATTCAGCTGCAATTGCAAAATACTCTGACCATTTTCAGTCCAGGTTCTGGGAGATTTCAACCAACCCAGTGACTTAAATCACATACTTGGCATCACATACAAAGATCAAGAGAGGCAGAGAAAAATAATGCAGCAGCAATTTCCTTAACTACTTGTTACTGATTTTTGGTTTCATGTCTCATTTCCAAGGATCTTCCACCATTTCAAACAAGCAAAAGGTCAGATGGTCAACAACAGAGGACTAGAAGGGACCAGTTGATTTCAAGTGCAGTTACAGGCAGCCACTTCCTCAGATGACTGTAAGGCTGTCCTGCCCAGTTCAAATGCAGAATTTTGTACCACCACAGAAACACAGCTGTGAATAAAAATAATGCTAAATCAAGTAGCACATATTTTTTCAGGTTTCCTACCTTTTTGAAATATTTGTTCCTATCCCAGATGGTGAAAGGCTTCCACCCAAGTACACTGGACAGCATCTAAATGGATTCATTAAAAAATATTAAATTAGAGCAAAACAGGTTGGAGAAAGAAGTATAACATTTATCCTAGTTTAACAGCATGGTATTTAAAAAATAATTAAATATAGGCAAGGCATCCAAATGATTGTAAACTACAGAATTTTAAAATTTTCATTATCAAAGCGTTCAAAGAAAAGCTCTATGAAAAACACTCTCCATGCCAAATATACAAGAATCTACATGTTGCAGCATTTGATAAATGTATGTGTCCATAAGGCAAAGGAAGATGTTCAATAGCTTAAATAATAAATTTATAATAAATTATTTTGACCACATGGAAACACATTAACAATTCTTTGAAATTACCAATTTATCTTTGTTTTTTCTTTAAAAAGACTATCTCTCTTCTTGGTGTCTTTCTTAAGAAATGTCAACACAGATTAAACAGCAGCAGTATTATCAGCCTGATAAGAAATTATAATCAAGCAATGTTCAACAAGCCAGAATGTTTTTCACCTACCTTTTCCCATGTGCCTGTACAACACCACTATTTCTTTCAGGTGTGAGATTTGCAGAATTAGACTGCAATTTCTGTTTAAAAACAACCAAAGAATAAAATGCAACATTACCACAAAGTAGAATATTCTGTTTTACTTAGTAAGCAGAAACCAGAAAATCCCAGTCACAGAAGAAGGGGACTAAGACTTTGGGAATTTTCCTGTTCAAGTTTCTGAGGCTCTGAGGTAACAGGTAAGCAAGGAACAAAGCTTCTCTTCCCATAGTGAATTTCCAGCTCTGGCTGAAGGAATTCCAAACCACATGATTACTTAGACTTTACAATCAAGACCTCCTTTTACTAATTTTGCTTTTAAAACCGCTTATAATTTGGAACCTTCTTCCTTGATGTTTTTAGCTTTTGTTTTATTAAAACCCATCAAAAAATTAGATTATTAAAAAAAATAGAGTCTTTGAAAGGTTTCTTGTTTGCTGTACACAGAAGAGTTTATTTGAATTCTCAAATATGAACACTCTAGATCCTAAACGGGAAGTTCTAGAGATATAAAATGTTACATTATGCAAATTTACTGGCATAATTCTCTCTCCTTCAGATGTATAGAAGCGTTTTTTGTAGGTTCAGATTTAGCCATCCTGTAAAAAATTAAAGACAAACAAAACAAAAAAAATGTCACTTGTGAAAATAAGGAAATCTGCAGGAGGTTATGAAGTATAAGTAACACCATTTTCTACTGCTAATGCCCAAATGAGTATCTATTTTCAATGCCTTTTATCATTGTAATTGTCTTGAGAATGTAAATTTGCAGCTTTATCTCCATCTCCTGCTGTGAAGCAAGAAGACATTTGCTGATACAAAACGGGGAGCAGTGGTTGATGTATCAGATGACTGAGCTGCTATCTAAGAGGGGCCTCAAATGACTTCCAGAAATGGGGTGAGAAGAATCTCTTCAAGTTCAGCTAAGGTGAAATGCAAACTCCCACCCCAGGGGAGGAATAATCCTTATGCACAGAACACCATGTGGGCTGACCAGCCAGAAAGCAGCTTTGCAGGGAGGGCTGTGGAAAATTCAGTAGATAACAAGTTGACCATGAACCAGCAACATGCCCTTGCAGCACAGAGGGCCAACAGTATCTTGGGATACATTAGGAGGGATGTTGCCAGGAATGTCCAGGGAGGTGATCCTTCCTCTCTACTCAGCACTGATGAGACAGAATCAAAGAACACATTGATAATATCCCCCTGGAACCTTCTCCATATTGAACAGTCCCAGCTCTCTCATCTGCCCCTCATATGACAGGCATTTCAGTCTCTTAACCATCTCCATGGGCCTTTGCGGGATGTTCTTCAGCAGCTCCATCTCCCTCTTGTACTTGAGAGACTAGAACAGGTCTATGACCTCACAGACATGTCTGGAGCACTATGTCCAGTACAAAAGAGGCATGAATGTAATGGAGTGGGCCCAGGAAAGGACCATGAAGATAATGAAGGACTTAGACCATCTGACATCCAGGTATCAGCTAAGAGAGTTGGAATTGTTTAGCCTGGAAAAACCATAGTTAGGAGGACCTTATGAAGGTATGTCAGGGACAGATAAAGAAGACGTAGCCAGACTCCTCTCAGTGGGATCACTGACAGGAGAGGCAGTGGGTGCAAACTAAAGTACAAGAATTTCCACTCAAATGTACAAAAAATCTTTACAACTTGTGAGTGCGGTCAAACACTGGACCAGGCTACTTAGAGAGGCTGCAGACTACATTCTCAGGGATAACTGAAAGCCATTTGGACAGTCCTGGGCAACTGGCTCTAGACAGTCCTGCTTAAGAAAGTGGTTGGACCAGATGATCTCCAGAAGTCCCTCCTCCAGCTGTGACCATTCTGTGGTTCTGAGCATTGACACTATGCTCTGTTTTGAACTAGCATTTCCTCTAATTGCCTGTTATTGCCTAGGTAAGAACATCTCTGTACATCTCTCCTGCTCCTCACTACAGGATTACTGCATTTTCCTTTCTGCTTTTTTTTCCAAGTTTATTCTACAGCCTGTTTTCATTCATGTTTTGCTTTAAAAGTTTCAGCTTATGGTGCTTTTACTTCCATTGTTGAACCTGACTTGTTCTGAATTTCTCCAAACCCCTGCTCACCGGAGGTGTTTTGGCAAAGCTGCTGTCACTACAGATTTCATCAATAATGTCATCTAGATCTTCTTCACTGCTGCCAGCACTCAGTAACACTTTAGCAGATCTGAAAAACAAATAAATCAGCCTTCAATTTTGTAGCAAGACTACAGCAATTCTAAGAAGTGTGAATTTAAAAATGTAAACAGTTACAGCCTTTTCCCCCTAATATTTTTGTAGTATCTCAGATAAGCCACCCAAATCATGACTGAGCAGATGTAAACTGCAGGGTAACACCTTTCAGTCACTGTTGCGTTGTCCCATCATAGGTCTTATTTTCGCTTGTTTCTTTTATTTCCAACCACTCCCAAGTGTGAATAAAACTATGACAATATAACCCCTGCTACACTTACTGGGCAATTAACTGGACAACCCTGATTTTTCACATTTAGCTTCAGAAGCAGGAAGGAGATAAGGTCAGAGGAAGGTCTCTACTCAAGCTACACAACTGCAGGGGTCCTGAAGAGGATTCCTGCAGAACTGCATGAATTTAGAAAGATCACCTGCACTTTGCTTTTATTCAAGTAACACTCAAGTCTGCTGTTTGCTAGCTCTTTGTCAACGAGGCCTGTAGTACTGCTGCATTAACCAATCAAGAACAAATCTACTCCTGAGAAAGAAGAAAATGGTATCAATTTTTTTTTTCAAGATTGTAATTAGGTTGACTAAAATTAATGCTCATCTAACCATTATGCAAACAATGTGGAAGTCCAGTAATTTGGTCAAATGTGGTGGTCTTCCTGGTCTTGCATTAGTCATTGGATTCTTCAAGATCCTTTCCTGAGACTTTGAAATATGTGTTGGATAGGCACTCAGCAGCTCACCTGTGGAAACATCTGACCAAGCCTCTCTGGTCCACAGAGCTTCCAAAGGGAGTCTGAGATGCCTGTCAGGGACTGGATGGAAACCTCATGTTTGGGATGGAAGCTTGAGGGCAGGCTGAGATGTCAGACATCAAATGCTTAGCAGTACCGTAAGCAATGACCCTGCCAGGACCAAACCTGCAAAATCACCCTTTTGAAAATTGTGGAATTTGAGGCAGATAACCTCAAAGTGTAGCATGTAGGTTAAGTGCTTACTGTAGTGGATATGGTTAATAAAGTATGAACAGAAAAAAAAAAACTGGAAGTAAAAGCATGAAGCTGTGTCAGGGGAGGTTCAGGCTGGGTATCTGGAAAAGGTTCTTCACCCAGAGGGTGGCTGGGCACTGGAACAGCTCCCCAGGGAAGTCACAGCACCAGCCTGACAGAGCCCAAGAAGGGTTCGGACAATGCTGTCAGACACACGCTGTGACTCTTGGGGTGTCCTGGGCAGGGCCAGGAGCTGGGCTTCAATGACCCTTGTGCATTCCCTCCAGTGCAGAATATCCTGTAATTTCAGTGAAATGACTAAAGCATCGAGAGAATAAAAACTTTGATAATGTTATTGCTGAACTTTTTCCTGCTCTAAATCGCGAGATTCATAGATATTTGAGGTCAGTTATATGCAGAGAGGTAATATAATAAAGTCAGTAAGAGAGCCAAGTGATCTCAACCCCAACTCAGAGGCAAATCAGCGCAGCTTTTAACGCCATATTTAATCCAAGGCTGCGGTACACGCAGGAGACAAAGACTGTCTGAAATAACTAAATTCGCTGGCACACGGTTTGGGTCTTTCAAAAACAAGGGCTGCAGGTGACACTCGCCGACCGTCGGCCCGGTTCCGGCCCCAGAGCCCGCGTGTTTTGGGTTCCCGAGCGGTCCGGCCGGGGAGGCGGGGACGCTGCGCGCACCCAGGCGGGCCTCGCTCGGCGGGGAGCGCTCTGCTCTGTGAGGGACCGCGGCGGGACCGCTGACCTGCCCCGGGCCGCCGCGGGCCCCTCCTCGCCGCCGTGCCGGTGCCACAGCCGCCTCTCCACCTCGTCCAGCAGCCCATCCAGGTCGTCCGCCATCTTGCCGCCCCGCGGTTGCCAAGGCGGCCCCGGCAGGGGCGGGGTCTGCCCGCCCGCCCTGCCGCGGCGGGGGCGGCCCCGGGGCGGCTCCGGGGCTCCGGCGGGGCTCGGGTCGCGGCTGCGGCCCCGCTGCACCGCTCGCGGGCTTCGGCAGCCAGCAGCGGGGAGGAGAAGAAAAAAGGAAAACGTAAAGCCACGGGATGGCGGCCGTAGTCGGCAGGATTCGAACCTGCGCGGGGAGACCCCAATGGATTTCTAGTCCATCGCCTTAACCACTCGGCCACGACTACGCATGTTACAGAAGGCCTCCCCACCTTCCCATGGCGACTTACCCGAGAAGGGGCGTGCTTTGGCACTCGGGTGCGTCATTCTCTCAGTGAAAGGTCTGAAACAGAGGTTAAACTTAATGCGTCTGTCATACAGTCCACCGGGCTGGATATTGTTTTGTTTAGAGCAAATCAAACGGTTAGGCTTTGCTAAGTCCCGCGGGAGAACTCTGTTTTTGTTTTTTTAGTGTTTTTTTTTTTTTTTTTTTTTTTTTTTTTTTTTTTTTTTTTTTTTTTTTTTTTTTTGGCATAGATTGTTCCTAACAGTTGTGGAGACAGCGGCCTCGGTCCCCTTAAAACAAGGAACACTCCCCAGCTGGCATCCCCAGTAGCGTCCTGGAAGTCGGGGCAGGCATTTTTGAGGAAAGCCCCATAAAGGCAGCTCTCGCCTATGGCCCTGATAATAAATCCACACAAGTGTGGCAGGTGTCAGTCACCAGCCTTCCAAGGCCAGCTCCACCTTCCCTCTCGTCAGAGGCACACCGGAGGTGACATGTCCCAAGGTGCGCACAGTGCCCAGAGTGTCACTGAATGCTCTATATTTTTTTAGAAGTGTAAGGAAGCAATTTAGAGAGAGAGGTCCTGTTAAGCTGAACAGCATTGCCATCTCCTTAGGTCAGCTGAGCCAGAAAGCACAGTGCTTGTACCCTCCCGTTGCCAAGATGCCTCAAAATTTCTCAGCCTCTGATGAGATGGGTCTGCTGTCCATAAGACTTCCAAGTAAAGCCTCTCGGCAACAAGGTACTTTACAATTCTCTGTGTATTTCAATTAATGAGTTGCAAGCCCTGTCTGAATTCCCTCATACTTAAGCTTTTATTTAATTGTTCCATTTTCCTCCCCACATATCTCAGGTCACTGTTAATACCCCCGCCCAATCCATGGCGGTGCTGCTGGGGGAGATGTGTTGGGTAGAAGAGTTGTGAGCCTTTGCTTGGTTGATGTGATGGAAGAAACCAAATAGCATTGATGCTGCTCCAGCTCTTTTAAGTGGTCCCTTGGCCAGGCCTCTGTGTCATGTAGGTAAATTCAATCCAGAAGAAGAGGATTTTTGGGTGGAATTTTTACATTCATCTCTTGCAGCTGTGGAGAGTTTAAACTAATCACAATTCTCCCAGTATGCTATCATCTCTGTAATTTGAAAAAGGATCAGGAGCCCACAGGCTTGGAAAATCTTGAAGAAACTCTTGTCCTGAAATACATCATCACATGTGAAAAAGACCACTTGCTGCATCATCTTAAAGGAGCTTAAGAATGCCAAAAACCAGTATCATTCTGGCATTCTTTCAAATGGCCTTAGAAATCTGAGTACATTCTCTTTTGACTGCAAAACAGATTCTTTCCTTTTCCATCAATCCTGTGGCTGTCAGTGTGTCTGTTGCAAGGTGCCAAAAATGTATGGAGTGTCTATGGGATGACGGTGCCAAAATCAGGGGTGCCTCGAGGCCTTCTCCCATGAACTTGTTGCAGCATTTGCTCAGTTGGAAAGCATTTGAAACCAAAAAGGAAAAAAAAAAAGAAAAAAGGCACAGACCTTTAAAAATTGTTCAAGATTGGCTTTGTGCAGATTACTGCCTGCTGTTTAGATCCTTGTTGTTCAAAACTTCTGAAAGGCCTGATGCAATCAAATAGACTTACTGGTCAGATTGATTCCAGACTAGTCCCTGGAATCACACAGAGGTGAATCTGACATACTGGGCCTTCAGCTAAGCTGTGGCGAGAAGAAAGGAGTTGAGGTCATGCCCTGAATTTTGTCCTCTCTTACAAAATCAGTGAAGGTGGCTTGCTCAAATCATGTCTCCTACTGACTGGGTGCAAATAGAAAGGTTAGTGATTGCTGAGGGCTGGAGAAGTACAGAATGTCTCTCTCTCTTTTTTTTTTTTTTTTTTAATTTTTTTTTTATACTATCTTAATATATTTTTAGGAAGAGGGGACAGAAGGCTGGAAGCCTGGACACCCAGGCTGTTCCGTGTGGAAGCCATAATGTTCTCTAATCCTCAAGCTACTGAAAGCTTTCTCAGTGATGCTATAAAACTGGATTTTGCCACAACAGTGATAAAGACAAAAAAAAAATTTTCTAGGGCGGGATGTTTATTTCCATCTTCTATTTTCTCTGGGAACCAAAGTGACCCTAAATTGAGGCTGACCAAAACTGTTCTCAGCCCTCTTCTCTGAACAATGAACCCTCAGGGGCTCAGGTAATGATAAGAGGTCAGCAGAACCAGGTAACAACAAAGTAGTTTCTTAGTGCTACCCATTGCCAGACAAGAGGGAAATGATTGCAGGGAGGACTCTTCTTCTTGATATGGTGACAGCATGTTGCAGGCCTTTCTGCCTTCCAATCTCTTGCCCCAGAAGTTGGGATGGAGGTAATGCAGTGAGTGCCTCTCCCCAAGGTGTTCTGCTGCCTCCAGCATATGTAGAGCTGTACAACTCGTTGCTCCCAGTTACAGGATATTACTCTAACCCTGTTTCTTATCACAATCCACTATAACATCATTTTGAGTGAAACTCCTTCTTTCTTACTAGTAGTACAGTGCATCAACATGAGAAAATTCATGGCTAAATCTAGATTTTTGGCCATATATTTACTAGCAAACATGCCTGTGAATGAAATTTTTCTACTAAAGATACCAGATTGGGAGACAACTTATTGGGAGACAACTTACTGAAAGACCTTTTAGCAGCAAAATGAACAGTGTGTGCAAGATTCCTCATATAACACTGGTTTGTGATGTTGAGAGACAGCCTTGGATCAAAGGACAGTTTAAGCTGGAGGCTATCCCAGTCCTGGACTTCACTGTCAATCCTTCCATTGAAGGTGCCAGCTTAGAGGGTAGATTTTCAGTTCAGTTTGCTGGCACAGCTGCCTTACCCATGAGGGGCATGAGGATTGGAAAAACTTCCAGTTTCTTCCAACCTTCCTCTCAATAATTTCAAGGTTAGAGTATGTGAGCAGCCACCACCTGTTGTCTGGGCTACACAATTCTCTTGTAAAGGAAACTGTTCCTGAGAAAAACAGGTAGGTGTCCAGAATGACAATCTTAGCCTTTGCTGTGAGGGGTCAACTTACTTTTGGATGTTTGTAAACATACATGCTCATTTTCAAATGAATCTGACCTAGTGCTTACCAAGAGAAGCAGAAGATTTTTCAGGACAGTATACAAAACACAAAAATACTTGTCTGGGGGCCTTTTAATGAACATGGCATAATCCTCAAAGCTTCTTATAACCATGACATTTTGATCTCCATGAGGGCATAACAAACACTGGAAAGTGGTTTCTGGAAAAAAACTGTCAGCTTGTAAGGCTGTGTAACAAGGAGGTCACACTTCCAAATCAATGATAATTATGTGCAACTTCAAATAAAAATGGTGTTGCCAGGCACTGTGCAGCTTTACTGCACCTGCATTCTCTGGCACCAAGGGTGTCAGGCCCTGTAAAGTGGAGCGGAGGGACGCACATGGTGATAAAGCAGGTCAGTGCAGAGAACATATCACAAGGTAAAAATGTTTCCATTTAACAGATAGAAATAATAAGTAGTAGTAAATATCAGATAATTGGCCTGCCAGGAGGGACCTAGGCTATGAGAACGTGAGTAGGAAGGAGAAAGCATTAATCACAGAGGACTGGGGACTACTGTGGAAAAAATCTTCCTGCTTGCTGCCCATTGCACAGCTGTGGTGAGAGACAAACATCATGTAAAACCAGCCTAGCTGAGGGAGCTGAGACCAAAGCAAAGTTAGTGTTCCATCACCCTTGCCAAGGCTGGAAAATATTTTTCAGGGATGATTCTCCAGAAGAATTGTGAACTAGGAGAAACTATGCCATTAGCCTCAGGGGCATGGTGTGAGTGTGCACGTGGAGATGAAGGTGCTGTTTGTGTGAACTCCACACTAATATCCTGCTCCTCAGTGGGGCAGGTTCAGATTTTTCTTCCTGTATCTCAGGTAGAGATCTGTATCTCAGATAGACAGATGTGGCAGGGCTGGCATTATCACACATCAGGTTCCAGACACACTCCTTTATTTCACTGCATAGCAGTGCTCTTTGTTTCACTGCATAGATTCCTTTTCTCAGTACAAGAACCCTGGTCAGTGAAAATATTTGTTAGGCAGAATCCCACTTGTGCAACATGAATGCCATTTGCATGTGTGATTTTGTACAGGCTTTTACAGTTAAAAGACTTAAAAGAATGGCAAGAAGAACAAAGAATTTTTCAGATGAAAGACTTTTTCTTCATAAAACCTCCCTCTAGAGCTCAAATGCTAAAAAGAGATCTTCATGTCTGTGAGTAATGAGGTTTTCATTTGGATGTGAAATAAACAGGTTTTTTTCCAGTGCAATTTTCAAAAGGAAGAATGTTCAAGGGCAAATTGAAAATTAAAAGCTAGGACTTCATTGATTGCATCAGGGTCAGGATTTCATACAGAAGGTGAAAATCCAGTCCATCTCATTGCAAATATCTGTTCCTTGCTGGAGGATGGGAACTGGTAACTCTCCTTCCAGCTCCAGGCTGTATCTCCCAGCAGAGGGCATTGCAGAATGACATTACTGTTTTTCAGAAATCTGGCAGAAGGTAAACTGAACTTCAGGAGGTTGTTTGGCCAGTCTAAAATAAATTTTCATGACCTCCACTGGAAGAGTAGATCATCAGTTGTTTAAAACCAAAAGGGGCTGCTAGCAAACTGTAGCTGGAAAATAAAAGGAATTTTTCCT